GACAGAGAGAGAGGGAAAGAGCACAATCAGTGGGGATAGCAGACAGAGGGAGAAGGAGAAGCAAACTATCTGTTGAGCACGGACCCATACACAGGGCTGGATCCCAGAACCCAGGATCAAGACCTGAGTGGAAGGCAGATGCTTAGCCAACTGAGCCACTCAGGTGCCCCAACATGCATAACTTTTTAAGTGTATATATACAGTTCTATTTTATCTTCTTAAATTCTGTTTGGAGAGTTTCAAGTACAAAATATTAATCATTGCTTGACCTAGTTATATAGTATCATATTCAATTATTTTTTAAAAATTACCAAATGTCCCCACATATCAGATATCAGTACTACCAACACTCATGGGTACTTGCAAGCTGGACCCCTCTTCAAGAGAAATCCCTTGAATCACGACATTCCCCATGAAAGAAAAAGAGATCTTGTGGGCCCCAACAGCCTTTACTACTGCTGCAGAAAAACGTAGCCTTGACAATTAAGAAACTTTGAAATCTTCACTAAGGCTAATCTCAGCTAACACAGGTGAATAGAGACTACATTGCTGGAACTTTCCCAGAGCTAGAAACACCATACTCAACCCAGCCAGTACTCTTATGCTCACAGACAAAGATCCTTCTCTCCCAAAATCATTCCATAAAATCTGGAAAAGGTGACTATCCCATTAAATGTATAGATATTAACACAAAGCTATAGAAAGATGAAAAATCAAGGAAATGTGACACCACCAAATGAATACAATGATTTTCCAGTAGCTGACTGCAAAGGAATAGAAATCTACAAATTGACAAATAATTCAAAATAATTGCTCTTAAAAAGTTTGGCAAGCTACAAAAAGACAGATCCACAACTCAGTGATATCAGAAAAAGAATGTGTGAATAAAATAATAAATTCAAAAGGGAGATCAAAATTATATAAAAGAATCAAAATGAAATTTTGGAGCTGAAGAATAAAATGAATGAAATTTTAAAAAACGCAATAGAGAACAACAACAGCAGACATATCGAGCAGAAGAAAGAAACCATGAACTTGGAAACAAGTTATTTGATATTACCCACTAAAAGAAAAACAAAAACAAAAACAAAAAAAAAAAGAAGAAATGAAATATTAGCATCATGGGAGTCCAAGAAGGAGAAGAGAGAGAGAAAAAGAGGCAAAAAGCTTATTAAAAGAAATAATGGCTACAAACTTTCAAGATCTGGGGAGATATATGAACATCCAGGTATCACATTGTACACTTAAAGTAGATACTGTCAATTATACTTTAACTTTTTTTAAATTTTTTAAATATTTTATTTATTGGGCACCCGGGTGGCTCAGTGGGTTGAGCAGCTGCCTTCGGCTGGGGTCATGATCTCAGGGTCCTGGGATTGAGTCCCGCATTGGGCTCTCTGCTTGGTGGGGAGCCTGCTTCCCGCTCTCTCTCTGCCTGCCTCTCTGCCTACTTATGATCTCTCTCTGTCAAATAAATAAATAAAATCTTTTTTAAAAGATTTTATTTATTTTTTTATAAATAAAATAAATATTTTATTTATTTATTTATTTATTTGATCACAAGTAGGCAGAGAGGTAGGCAGAGAGAGAGCAGGAAGCAGGCTTCCCACTGAGCAGAGAGCCTGACGCCAGGCTCGATCCCAGGACTCAGGGATCACCACCTGAGCCAAAGGCAGAGGCTTAACCCACTGAGCCACCCAGGCGCCCCTATACTTCAATTTTTAAAAAAAATTTGATAAAGCTAGCTGGTATATAATAAATGTTCATTATATAAACATATATATATACATATACACTTATGTATACAAATAAATGTACATAAAATTAAAATAATATGTGTATATATAAATAATTTTTAATATACTCTTTGATGTTAATGCAGTATTTTTTATACCAGATAAAAGAAATTTTTTTAATTAATTAACTTTTTATTTAGAGAGAGAGTGGGAGTAGAGCAGGGCAAAAGGAGAAGCAGAGAGAATCTTAAGCAGCCTCCTCATTCAGTGCAGAGCCCCATGCGGGGCTCAATCTCACGACCCTGATATCATGACCTGAGCCACAATCAAGTCGGATGCCCAAATGACTAAGCCATCCAGGCACTCCCAGAATTTTAAATTTTTTATATAGCTTATTTATTTATTTTTTTTTTTAAGATTTTATTTATTTATTTGACAGAGAGAGAGAGAGAGAGAGAGAGAGATCACAAGTAGGCAGAGAAGCAGGCAGAGAGAGGGGGAGGCAGGCTCACCGCTGAGCAGAGAGCCCGATGCGGGGCCTGATCCCAGGACCCTGAGATCATGACCTGAGCCGAAGGCAGAGGCTTAACCCACTGAGCCACCCAGGCGCCCCTATATAGCTTATTTATTTATGTCTAGTCACAGTGACTGATAGCTTTGTAGAGCAGTTTGCTTTAAATTTATATCAATATAAAAAATATTATTTGCTAAGAGAAGACAGTATTTTGAGTTTTCATACTTTCATTTTTTCAAAAGTAACTATTATTACCTAAGTAACTACAGTTCTAAGTGGTTTTCTGCTTAAAACATTTAAATCCCTGAGATAAAATTTGGCCTAGTGGAGATAAACATACCCATTAATTTTTCTCTGGATTTCACAGTAAACACATTCATTCTCTCTAGTGAGCTGACATTTCAAGCAAACACAAATCATGATCTTACCTATAAATGGTGAAGTCATAATCCTGAATATGGTAATGAGTGAGTTACATAAGGCCATGAAAAACGGTAATATAAGAGCAATGAAAAACATTAATATAAGAGCATTTACAAAAATTCTTTAATTTTACTAAAAGTAGTATAATTTTAAAGATATATTCAGTTTCACAAATTAAAAATATATAAGAAAGAATCAAGATGGTTAACCACCCAACAAAAAACTCTATGTATTACAGATGACATTCATCAAATTTAGAAGTCACTCCATGGCCTTAATAATTCACTAGACTTTTAAGTAAGTAGACATTTAAATAAGCTAAAAGTTACTTTGAGACATCAACAATTTAAAAAGGCACTTTATGCTGCCCCAAAGAGGTACTTTTCTAACCTCCACTATATAACCAATCAAAAATGGTATGAGACATGAACTCTTCAAAGTACCGTCCTATTAAATCCTGAGATCGTTCCTAGTACTAGTCCAACCTTTAGGAGACAATTTTAAAAAGAAAATTTTACATTCAAACCTCGGGCATCAAGAAAGCACTCAAAGTAGCTTATAGAAACAAGGAAGAGCTCTGCAGAGGATCAGAAAAATATCTGGACCAATTCAGAGGAAAAAGACAGCTGAATATTGCAGCCAGTGCAAAGAAAAGATGGCTAACTGCCCAGATAAATTTCACGACTCAAACACTTCTAAACGTGCACTCTTGGTATAGCTACTGTCATTTGATGCAAAAGCTAAAAATTGAATGCACATACAATAACAAAAATATAAAGCACTAGGAGTCCACTGGGCATTATTTTTTGGGGAGAGTTGGACTTTATAAATATAAACACAGAAGCCAATGTAAATTATCTGTGATCATTTTGCTAACCATATATAACATTTTCCTGTGGTAATTTCATTGACACTAATCATATCCATATATATATTTTTATACAAATGTTTCTATATTTGCACAATTCTTAGTGTATTTTTAACTCCTCAAATACATTTGGGAATCATTCCAGACCACAAGACTCTGAAGAATTGCAGAATTTATCACACTGACATGTCAACACATATGAATACAGAACCCATACAATGTTGTTTTTATTCAGCAAGCATGTCATAAACAAAATTTTCTAGTTTACAATGCCAGGTAGATAAAGTCAATTATAGTAATTAGAATTGTTTCAAAAAAAAAAAAAACTCAGAAGCTTTAATTCTACAACTTAGTTAACAGGGACATTTTTTAAAAAGTTAAAGTCACATTATCTTCTGGGATCTCAAGATTCTGATGCCATGTAACTTTATACTCCCTCCGTATAGTTTAATGTAGAGTCAATGGGCACACCACAGAAGAAATACATGTTAAATACTATCTTACCAATTAAAGAAATAAGATAACAAAGAATATTTCATTTTACTAAGATAGAATAATGCTCCCATTTTGCTTATTTTTTGGTCATTTTTAAATACTGATAAGAGATCAAAAGACAAGTTCATCTTAAATGATTTAAGCATGCTTCTAACCAGTCACAATTAAGGTATAAAAAACTAAGACAGCTAGCATAGTACAGTCATAGAAGTCAGGATTACCAGGGTTGAGATCTGCGCTTTCACTTACTTGAGCAATTAAAGTATTTTAAACTAGTTTCCTCGTTTTTTACATGGGAAAAATAATAATGGTATCTATTTCACAGACTTCTTGTTGGAGAGTAAGGAATAAAAGGATTTGAACAAGTTATGTAAAACTGGAAAGAAATATATAAATTCATTGCATTATCATCAAATAATAATTTTTTCCCTGAGAAGCAAGCTATCAACATGTAATGTAATAAATGTGCTTTTTATATTTAGACCTTAATTAAAATATTTTTAATTAAATAAACATTCATCCAAGTAAATTGTGTAACTATTGATGTCCTCCCTTTTAAAAATTTGGAGATAAGAATAATTAATGTATTTTATAACCAAGAATGATGACTCAGCTTTGTTTTTAAAATATAATCTCATACTTTTTAATCTTTGTTTTATTATGTATTTTGTTCAATGAAGAAAACATACATGTGCTTCCAATTAAACCTTAGGAATAGGTATCAGTTGAAGGAAAGATGTTTATTATATTTCTAAGTCAACTCTAAATATGTTCTTTTTTCTTATTTGGTTCATTTGATGCAAATACTATAATAGTGTAATATATTCTTTCTCAATTGTGATTAACAAATTTACCAGTTTGCTTTCAATATACTCATTACCTGAATGAGGCTTTAGACAGAACCAAATATAGTTAAAATATCAAACACAACAATCAAAGATAAAATATTTGCAACAAACCATACCTAGTAATAAGAACAGCATTATCGTGGTGGGCAATCCCATTTTCTGGAATGGTGTTTCCATCACTTTGGTGAGAGAGAATGGATTTCTGCCATTTACAGAAGCTATCGAGGGACTTGTCTGCATGGTGGTTTATCTCCAAGTTTGGCTGCAATACAACATGCATACCAGAAATGTTCCAAACAAATTACTAAGGTCAGTTGTTAAAACTTTTGAAGACTAAAGTGGGACTATAATTAGAAGCAGTGGTTTCTAGGAATAATCTCTTGCCAATTTTTATCTCTGTAATATCTGACCTAGAGTTAATTTAGTGTACTATTGAATATTCTTTCCAGTTCCAGCTTTAATGATCATGTGAATATATGTGATTCTCAGCAACCAAAACCACTATTAGTAGATCTGCCATGCAAATGCTCATCTTTATACTGAAACATAAAGCTAATATACATATATGGAGCCTTACCATGACATAGGAGTTACATTATTATAAACTACTTAAAATATTAAATGCTTAGTAGTGAAAATCATATTCAACTAGACCTTCCTAAGAGGAACAATAATAAAATATTTTATAATACATAATTCTGTAGCCTGTTTATTAAAGGTTTTAGATTTCTAAACTAACTCATTCTTACCTGATCTTCTGTAAGAACAATTAAGCGGGCCACTATAATATTCACAACGTTTCCTAGGCTGGAATCACGGTAAAGTTTGGCAACCTGACCTCCAGAAAATAAGAAAAGACACAAAGTCAGACAAAAATCATAGGCCGATTGTTTAGTACTTTTTTAAAGAATGGTAAAACAATATTTCATAAGTTAAACCACTTTGTATATAAAAAGATATTATTTTATCCCATTACACTTAGAATTCTACCCTCAAGATGCCTCCATAAAAGATTTTTATACAAATCTACCTCAAGAAATATTCTCTCCTAAAACTGAACTATAACATAGTAATTAAGAGGGTGAGCTGATGTTTCAAGTTAAAGAAAACCTCTTAAATAGGATTTAATATGACCCATTCAAAAACACATTATCTAAAACGAACAAGAGTTCATCTTTAAATTTATTTCCTATGGAACTGAAACATTAATATATTAATTCTTTCTTATTTTAGATGAGTAAATTCTTAAAATCATTAATTCACATTAAAAATCCATGACCTTAGTCAAAACCACAAATTATTAAGTTAAAATATTATATAGAGGCATCAAACTTACAATATTCATCACACTCAAAATGTAATGTTCAATGTCTTTGCGGCCATGGTAGCCCACCATCATTTTGTCTGCCACTACCAATGTCTCCACAAACCGCTCAATGCTTACTGATCTCTTCTGTCTGTGGCGGATATGCGTGCCATTAATTGGTAGTGAAGAAGGAAAAGTAGATGTGTCATTCAGCCACCAAGGTTTGCCGCTTCTTATGAGGTCTACAATAAAATAATTAACTAGTTCAGATAGGTTCACCAATGAAGCTTACTTATTTTTAAATCTTTCATATAGACATGCTTCTCATAAATTTTCTAAAGTATTAAGATATTTCAGTGAGGAGAGGGGATGAGGAAATATAATAGTGAGAAAATTAAACTCTTTAAAGTTTTCAAAATAGTCATCTTATTTGAAACAAATTGAACATTAATAACATTCAGCTGTTCATAAAAACAAAAAATAAGCCTAATGAATAAAAATATTTTAAAATAATCATTGCATATTATTCCAGTGACTGATTATGTCATAATATTTTTAAATACAGATGCACTTTATATAAAGTTTTCTTAAAAACAACTAGAGCATTAACTTTATAAATGCCATAAGACAATTCTGATGAAGAACATCAATATTGCAAAAATCTGTTCCTTTTTTTTTTTTTTTAAGTAAGCTCTATGCCTAATGTGGAGCTTGAACTCACCACCTCAATATCAAGAGTCACATGCTCTACCAACTGAGTCAGCCAGGTACCCCCAAAATCCTATTCCTGAAATGTCTCTGAGCATTTATGTTAAAGTAAGATTTTTTATTAAACTATCTTAATTAGAGTAATTCTACTGCTCTAGAAATCTCAATTCTAAAAGCCTGTGAATTAAGTTTTTTATTTAGCTTTATGATATATAACTATTTATACTAACAGAGACCCAAAGTAGTCCTCTTCCAAAACCTAGAGGTAAGTGGTGCTACAATGAGAGTTGAAGGATTACAATTCCAGCTTCCTTTAAACCACATTTCACTGTGGATTGCAGTTTAATCCTTTGTTTTCTAACAGTTGGTCCTTCAGTACAGAGAAAACCTTTTAGTTCTATGGTATTTGTAAACACTTGTCTCATTTACATTTACCTTTATTTAATAAACCTGAACAGGTACAGGTCCTCTGCATACCTTACTTTCGTATCTGTATGATCTTTCTAACATCTACTTATTAAACAATTTAGTGAGGAAGAATCAGATTAATTTATATAATATAGTTGACAGAAACTGGCAGTATTTTCTATTATTTTTCTAATTTCTTTAGCCTTTACCCTTTAAAAATTACTTTGGTAAGAGTTAAAAATTTTAAGAAATAAGAGATGGAAATGACTATGATGAATACCAGTAAAATAGTTTTGAAACTCATATAAATTAAATGAGTATATTTTATTCCTAAAGGCCAAGAGAGGGAGAGACATATTACTTTTTATTTCAATAGTATAACTTCTGGACAGCCAGTAAGTACTCCCCTCTTCCAGACAGACTCTTAAGGTGGCCCCAATGATCTCCCAATGTTTACACTTTGAGTGATCTCCTCCTCTTTAGTGTGGGTGGGACTGTATCTTGCTTCTAACCAAGAGAATATAGCAAAGATAAAGGGATATACATGATTACACATATATGAGTACATAATTACATAATATTGTAGCATCTTTCTTACTAGAAGAGTCTTTCCCTTGCTGACTTTAAGGAAGTAGGCAACCAAATTGGTGAACTGTACATGACAAGGAACTACAGATGGCAGACAACCAGCCCCAAACTAAATCTTTCAGTCTTTTTATAGCAAGGAACTGAATGCTGCCGACAATCATGGGAATAGGAAGGTAGATTCTTCCCCTGTCGAGACTCTAGAAGAGAACCCAGTCCTGGCTGAGGCTAAGTCAATTAACTCATTCATGTACAACTTCAGGTCCACAGAAACTGTGAGATAATAAAAGTATATTGCTTAAGCCACTGAGTTTGTAGTAATATTGTTATGAAATGGTCAAAATCCTTTCTGCATTAACATAATTCCAGTTTTTTTTTTTGCTCATCTTCCAATATCATAAAACCACCCATGTATTCAAATCATACCTAGTTTTCCCTTCCTCCAGATGAACAGTCTAAATGTCTAAATGCAGGATTTCATTTCCATTATTTTGATCATTTTCACTCCTCTGATCCATTCAATTTCTCCTTATATTTATTTAAAGTATTTGTGAAAAGAATTAGACTTGATTGGGCAAAATAAACACAGCAATAAAGTTCCTCATTAGACAGTACTCAATATAAAGTAGTTATTGTTATCATCATTTTAAAAAATTTCAGACTTCTGGCTTTTTAAATTGTTAGTTTGCTTGGTATTCACTCCAACAGGTAAATGTATATATAACGTCTTTGATGGATATTCATAAGTGGAAAGAGTCTTCTATGCAAAGAATTTGTAGTCCGATGTATAAAAAATACACACACAATGAATAAATGTAATCAAGATATCTGGTTTCACTTTAAAAATTAAATTAATCCAGCGTGATTAGATCATTAGAAAACATTATCTACATGCTGTAATTGTCAACTGACTGCTTAGTGTTAAGCTTAATGATCTGTAACTAATATCTTGTTTAGTCTAAAAGAGAATACACAACTGACTTGTTTCAAAACAAAGATCAGTAGTTATTCAAATGATACTTACTACATATGCTCAATTTAATTTTGGAAAGAGTTTAGAATGTCAAAGAAAACATTCCTCCATAAATATATACAATAAAGAACTTTTCCCCAAAGTCAAATATGTAGATCTCTTTGTCATCTGAAATAAGATCTTAAATTTTTGATCAATCTCAAAATATTTCTAATATATACAAGTTGTTCAAAATATTCTTTATACAAGTTGTTCAAAATTATTGCGTGGACCTGCTTTATTTTTTGCTAATAGCACTTGTTACTTCTTGATAGTTGGCCATGTATTTATTTGTTTGCTTGATTGCTTTTTTAATTAACTCTCTTCTCTAGAATATAAGCCTTATGGGAGCAGAGACTTTTCTTGTTTTATTGCTGCATCTCAACACCTCAAATAGCCTGACACATACATGCTAAATGAATATTTATTTAATAAATACATAAGTAAATAATGCAGGTATAGAGACAATAATATCTACATCAATGGACAAGAGTATTCAGTTATCCCTGGGTAGTGGTAAAGAGCAATTTTCACTTCCTTTTTTTCTTTTTAGCACATATTTACTAAATTTTCTACAAAAAAACAAGTATTTTTTATTATTGTTTGAGATTGATAATACAATTTAATCAGGATGGGAAAATTTATGTCTGAATATGAGACAAATATGCCCACTCTCAAAGGGTTTTTCTATATTATATTTTGATATAAAATTGAGTTCCCAATAACTGGTTAACTGGGAATTAACACCTATAAATGCACATGTCATTTGAATTATGCTGTCAAAATAGTATCATAATTAAGATCAGTAGTTCTTATCCAGACATTTCCCAAACTTATTAATCATAAAATATATTTTTTTTAGTGATATTCCTATAGAATTTAGCGAACTATGACAGATATTCCACTCTTAGGAAGCCAGTGAAACATTTCAAAGTGTTTAATACAGGGACACCTTTGTGGCTGAGTCAGGTAAGCGTCTGCCTTCGGCTCAGTCATGATCCCAGGATGCTGGGATCCAGCCCATGTTGGGCTCCCTGCTCAGTGGAAGTCTGCTTCTCCCTCTCCCTCTGCCTCTCCCCCTGCCTGTACTCTCTCTGTCTTTGTCTCAAATGAATAAATAAAATCTTGGAAAGGAGGGAGGGAGGGAGGGAAGAAAGGAAGAAAGAGTATAATATAGCCAGATGTAGGAGACAGCCCACTAAGGACAAAAACAAAGCTGAAGACAGAAGACTCCAGTTAGAAAGTCATTACAGGGGTGCAGGCAAGAGATAACAAGGGTCTGAACTAAATAGACTGGTGTTAAAGGTAACAGAAATGACTAGCGAATAGACTAAAAGTGAGGAAAGAGTCACAGTAATTCACTTAAGATTTTTCAGCCATTCAAGAATATCTCATTCACCTGCTTTATTTTTTGCCAATAGCACAGTAATCCAAGGGGAGAGACCTTAAAAGAAGAAAATCCTCCCCAACAAGGACAAAATTTTATGTTGGCAATAAGAGTAGATTTACTGAACTATCTGATTCATGCCTCAACCTTTGGAAAAGAAGGATCTACCTCAGCAAGACCAATGAATAATAAGATAGGCCCTCCAAAAGAGGATAATTTGAATATCTAATGGTTAAGGGTTATCTTTCAGAATACAATGAAATCTTTAAATATTTTTGCAAAAAGTCATCTTTACAATCATGAAGTGAAGGATGCCATGTTATGGAAAAAAAATGATAGGAAAATTATATTGCAATAAACAACTAAATATTTGAATCTTAGTTTTTCATGAATTTATATATTATTGTACTTACAGTTTAAATTCAGTAAATATAAGATAAACTAAACTATTTCCATAATTTTTAGTTTCATTTCTCAATGCAAAGATCCACCAAAAAGTTTTTCATTGTTTTCTATGAAATTTTATGTCATACCTTAAGCATGACATAAAAGTGGTCTTTTTCTGTATCAATTACTTTTTACTTTTACTGTATCAATTACTCTTCATCAACAAGGACGTCCCAGAGATTACTCAAGACGTGTATGTAGAATGAGAACAGTCACTTGAAGAAAGAACTCCAGAGCAATCTTAGACTTGAAGCAGAAGGAAAGGAGCCCAAGAAGCATATGGACATAAACAAAACAATGGGTTTGTTTAACCCATTCTATTCTTTATAAATCTACTTGTTGAACCCTTCCCACTTTTTTCTAAAATTACTGTTGCTGAACTTTTCTTTGTATTAAGCTGAAACCTGCTGAAATACTGAAATATACTGTCCCTGCCTCCACCTACAAGAACTATACAGAACAAATTGAATCTTCAATTTTTTTAAAGATTTTATTTTTATTTATTTATTATTATTATTAATTTTTTTAGAGAGAGAGACAGGGGAGAGGCAGAGGGAGAGAAAGAATCGTAAGGAGCCTCCCCACTGAGCACAGGAGCCCAGCTCGGGACTTGATACCATAACCCTGAGACCACGTCCTGAGCCAAATCAAGAGTCAGACACTTAACCAACTGAGCCACCCGGGAGCACGTTTAAAGATTTTATTTTTAAGTAAACGCTATATCAAATGTGGGGTTCAAACCCACAATCTCAAGAACAAGAGTTGCATGCTCCACAAACTAAGCCAGCCAGGTGCCCTTAATTTTTTTTTTTTAACATAATAGCTCTTTAAATACTAGAAACAGTCATCTCAATAATAATGATAGCTAAAATTTGAGCAACTAATGTGTGCTGAGAAAAGTATTTAGAGAGTTTGGTTCATTTGTCTAAAACTACACCAAAGCCCATATTTTTTCTATTATGCCAGAATATCCTCTATTCTCTAAGTTTTCTAATCTTTAGACTAAACAGCCTCCTAACCCCTCACCTCTAGTGTTGCTTTTCTCTCAGTCAGTCTCCACAGGACTGCCAGGGTTATACTTCTAACACCCAAATCTGATCATGTCATTCCTGCTTAAAACCTTTCTATTGGTTTCCAGCACACTTAGGATAAACAAATTCCTTAATATGGTTTACAAGCCCTTTGTGTCTTGGCCTTCCTTGTCACTTCAGTTTCATCTCTCATGGCCACTCCTCACCCACTATGAAATCCACCCATCCCTCCAGTCCACATTCTAATAACCCGTTCTATGAACTGGCAATGACTGCAATGTGACATTCTCTCTTCTGGTTCAGGACTTTTGTAAATGCTGTTTCTGCTATATGGAACATACTACCCACTGTTCCCTCTACTTCTTTCTGCACAGCTACCTTCTCATTCTCCATCAGGCCTCAGCTTAGAAGTCACTTCTTCCATGAAGCCTTCTTTGACCATTCATGTCTAAGTTTGCTGTCCCTGCTATATATTTCGATAGTACCCTAACACTTGAATACTACCTTAAGACTCTTCAAATTTTATTCAAGTGTCTAACATATCACTATTAGCATAAAAACATCAGGCTAACCAGACAGCACAGAGGACTAGGCAACACTTGTGCGTGAAAATTATAACTATTACCTGGATAAAATAGGGTGGGGGTTTTTTCCCCTTCAAAGAAAAAATAATTTTACACAGACTTATATTTTAAGAACTTCTCAAACAGCTTCCAACTATTGATAAGTGACATCCTTTTTTTTCCCCAATAAAAAGGAAGGTAGTTTTTTTTTTCTTCTTGTTTTTTTAATTCAGGTATAATTAACATAATTAACATACAGTTATAATAGTTTCAGGTATAGAACATAATGATTCAAAAATTCTATACATTACTCAGTGTTCATCAACACATGTGTGCTCTTAATCCCCTTTATCTATTTTACTCACCCCCACATCCACCCTTCCTCTGGCAACCACCAGTTTGCTCCCTGTAATTAAGAGTCTGGTTTTTTGTTCCTGTCTTCTTTATTTTTTTTCCATTTTTTCCTTATGTTGTTTCTTAAATTTCAAATATGAATGAAGTCATATGGTATTTGGATAGGTGACATCTTTTAAGAGGACACTGAGCATTATCATTCTAATTACTCAAATTCCTATTGACTTTTATTATTAACCTTTCCATAGGTGTCAGAAGAAAGACAGTGGCAAATCAACACAACACACTTTGTAAAAGCCACACACCCACTCACCTGAAACCCCACAATGAGAGTGATCATACAGATGTCGTTGCTGGAGGGTAGACTTTTTGTAAATAACATGAGGATGACCATTTTCATAACTAAAATGTGTGGAATCCTCTGTGGTATTCTTTAATGGTTCAATAAAATATTCTTCATCTTCTGTAGCAATAACGCCATGCTAAAAGAAGAAGGAGAAAAGAATTTACAAAGAAGAATCATTTTAAAAGTCAATTATCATTTCCAAGAGTCAAAAATAAGTTGATACCTCTCCAAAAAGAGGTTAAAACACATGTTAATAGAAATTCAGTCAATTATCTGTACCCAGCAAAACATTATATAAATTTATCTATATGTTAAAGAGGATTTTTAAATTCTTCTACATGCCATACATGTCTTGTACTAAGCATGTCACATACATTATTTCCTCCAATCTTCTGCAAAACTGTGAGGTAGCAGAGATTGCCATGTGCTCGCTAAGACTTGTATTCTTTCCAAATTGTGCACACAGCTTAACTACATCCTCTGTGTTTAGGGATAGCTCTATAATTAAGTTTTGGCCAATAGAAAATGAGAAGAATACTATATACCACTTTTAAGCTCATCTCTTGAGAACCTTCCCAAAGAAAATACTCTCTCTGAAAAAACTACCTAGGGGAGGCAGAAGCTGAAAGAGAAGCAATCTGTGTCCCTGACTGACTTCATGGAAAGCTGCCCAGCATAGACACTGAAACAAAGCAGAAATAAATTTCTATTGTGATAAACAATGGACATTTTAAAGTTCATGTCATACCAATTAATACGTCCTTGATTGATATATATCCTATTTATCTCCATTTTGCAGACGAAGTAACAGACTCAGAGCTTAAGAACTTCCCCAACATTACATAGAGATAAATGAAGGAGCTGCATTTCACATAAAGCTCTGCTCTTATTCATATGATATATTCCTCATACCTATTCACATAGCGGAGTGTTAGCTCAACTACAGTCCTTTTTAAAACTTTCTCTAGCCCAGGGGTGCCTGGGTGGCTCAGTGGGTTAAGCCGCTGCCTTCCGCTCAGGTCATGATCTCAGGTTTCCTGGGATCAAGTCCCGCATCGGGCTCTCTGCTCAGCAGGGAGCCTGCTTCCCTCTCTCCCTCTCTGCCTGCCTCTCTACCTACTTGTGATCTATCTCTGTCAAATAAATAAATAAAATTAAAAAAAAAAAACTTTCTCTAGCCCAAATGGAGTAGTTTCAACCTTCTTTTGAGCTCCAACAGAGCTTATTATTGGTATCATTTATTTTTAATTAATGTCTCACTTTTTTGCTACCTCTCAAGTCTGGAAGCTATATTTACATTTGGTATAACTTTTCAACTGCATGTTTTATCTCCCTAACTAAACTATTTGCTTTTTTTTAAGGCAAAAGTTTAATGTTTCATAAATCTTTTTATCAGTTATAACTATAGAAAGTGTTTCATATGTAGTATGAGCACCAAATAAAAGTTGGTAGATCTAAAGAAATGAGAGAGTAAAAGTTATCTGCATTAGAAATAAGAACTTCCATACTGGACTATTAGTGTTTTCTTAAATACAGCACATGTGAGGACTGCCCCAACTAATTTATGCTGTAACACTGGGTGAAACACAAACTCTCTTGGTGTATTTCCTCAGCTGGAAAAATGAAAGGATTGGTGTAAATTAGTGGTTTTAAAACAGCACTCTGGGAAGCCCTAAGGGTTCCAGGGAAGTGCCCTCAAGGGACTGCCCCAGACAACAAAGGGAGACCTATAGGGCTTAGATTCCTGCACTTAGCAATCAGCTGTGCTTTTATTAATGTATGTAGTACTTTTTCTACCTAACATTTCATTTGAGAAAAAGGTCTTGCTGCTTTAAAAAAAACTGCTGAAGGACTTGGAGTCAAGATGGTGGACAAGTAGCAAGCTGAGACTACTTCAGGTAGCGGGAGATCAGCTAGATAGCTTATCTAAAGATTGCAAACACCTACAAATCCAAGGGGAGATCGAAGAGAAGAAGAACAGCAACTCTAGAAACAGAAAATCAACCACTTTCTGAAAGGTAGGACTGGCGGAAAAGTGAATCCAAAGCGACGGGAAGATAGACCGCGGGGGGAGGGGCCGGCTCCCGGCAAGCGGTGGAGCAACGGAGCACAAAATCGGGACTTTTAAAAGTCTGTTCCGCTGAGGGACATCGCTCCAGAGGCTTAAGCGGGGTGAAGTCCACGCAGGGTCAGCGTGGCCTCAGGTCCCGCAGGGTCACAGAAGGATCGGGGGTGTCTGAGTGTCGCAGAGCTTACAGGTATTAGAACGGGGAAGCCGGCTACAGAGACAGAGCCGAGGAGTGAGCTCTAAGCTCGGGGTTACCTTGAACCGGTCGCAGGCTCGGTCAGCTCGGAGCGCGGCCGGAGACCAGGGTGACGGGAGTAATTGGGCGCTGTTCTCTGAGGGCGCACTGAGGAGTGGGGCCCCGGGCTCTCGACTCCTCTGGGCCGGAGACCGGGAGGCCGCCATCTTCATTCCCGCCCTCCGGAACTCTACGGAAAGCGCTCAGGGAACAAAAGCTCCTGAAAGCAAACCCGAGCGGATTACTCAGCCAGGCCCCTGGTAAGGGCGGTGCAACTCCGCCTGGGGCAAAGACACTTGAGAATCACTACAACAGGCCCCTCCCCCAGAAGATCAACAAGAAGCCCAGCCAGGACCAAGTTCACCTACCAAGGAGTGCAGTTTCAATACCAAGGAGAGCAGTGGAATTCCAAAGGAGGAGAAAGCAAAGCACGGAACTCATGGCTTTCTCCCCATGATTCTTTAGCCTTGCAGTTAATTTAATTTTTTTTTTCTTTTTCAATTTATTTTTCTTCTTCTGCTAAATTTTTTTAACTTTTACCCTTTTCTTTTTTAACGTTTTTTTAACTAGTTTATCTAATATATATATATTTTTCTTTTCCTTTTTATATTTTTTCTTTTTTTGTTTTCTTTTTTTTTTTATTTGTTTCTTTCTTTTTTTTTTTTTTTCTTCTTTCTGAACCTCTTTTTATCCCCTTTCTCACCCCTCACAATTTGGGATCTCTTCTGATTTGGCTAAAGCATATTTTCCTGGGGTTGTTGCCACCCTTTTAGTATTTTACTTGCTCCTTCATATACTCTTATCTGGACAAAATGACAAGGCGGAAAATTTCACCACAAAAAAAAGAACAAGAGGCAGTACCAAAGGCTAGGGACCTAATCAATACAGACATTGGTAATATGTCAGATCCAGAGTTCAGAATGACGATTCTCAAGGTTCTAGCCGGGCTCGAAAAAGGCATGGAAGATATTAGAGAAACCCTCTCGGGAGATATAAAAGCCCTTTCTGGAGAAATAAAAGAACTAAAATCTAACCAAGTTGAAATCAAAAAAGCTATTAATGAGGTGCAATCAAAAATGGAGGCTCTCACTGCTAAGATAAATGAGGCAGAAGAAAGAATTAGCGATATAGAAGACCAAATGACAGAGAATAAAGAAGCTGAGCAAAAGAGGGACAAACAGCTACTGGACCACGAGGGGAGAATTCGAGAGATAAGTGACACCGTAAGACGAAACAACATTAGAATAATTGGGATTCCAGAAGAAGAGGAAACAGAGAGGGGAGCAGAAGGTATATTGGAGAGAATTATTGGAGAGAATTTCCCCAATATGGCAAAGGGAACAAGCATCAAAATCCAGGAGGTTCAGAGAACCCCCCTCAAAATCAATAAGAATAAGTCCACACCCCGTCACCTAGTAGTAAACTTTACAAGTCTTAGTGACAAAGAGAAGATCCTGAAAGCAGCCCGGGAAAAGAAGTCTGTAACGTACAATGGTAAAAATATTAGATTGGCAGCAGACTTATCCACAGAGACCTGGCAGGCCAGAAAGAGCTGGCATGATATATTCAGAGTACTAAACGAGAAAAACATGCAGCCAAGAATACTATATCCAGCTAGGCTATCATTGAAAATAGAAGGAGAGATTAAAAGCTTCCAGGACAAACAAAAACTGAAAGAATTTGCAAACACCAAACCAGCTCTACAGGAAATATTGAAAGGGGTCCTCTAAGCAAAGAGAGACCCTAAAAGTAGTAGATCAGAAAGAAACAGAGACAATATACAATAACAGTCACCTTACAGGCAATACAATGGCACTAAATTCATATCTCTCAATACTTACCCTGAATGTTAATGGGCTAAATGCCCCAATCAAAAGACACAGGGTATCAGAATGGATAAAAAAACAAAACCCATCTATATGTTGCCTACAAGAAACTCATCTTAAACCCGAAGATACCTCCAGATTTAAAGTGAGGGGGTGGAAAAGAATTTACCATGCTAATGGACATCAGAAGAAAGCAGGAGTGGCAATCCTTATATCAGATCAATTACATTTTAAGCCAAAGACTATAATAAGAGATGAGGAAGGACACTATATCATACTCAAAGGGACTGTCCAACAAGAAGATCTAACAATTTTAAATATCTATGCCCCTAACGTGGGAGCAGCCAACTATATAAACCAATTAATAACAAAATCAAAGAAACACATCGACAATAATACAATAATAGTAGGGGACTTTAACACTCCCCTCACTGAAATGGACAGATCATCCAAGCAAAAGATCAACAAGGAAATAGGCCTTAAATGACACACTGGACCACATGGACATCACAGATATATTCAGAACATTTCATCCCAAAGCAACAGAATACACATTCTTCTCTAGTGCACATGGAACATTCTCCAGAATAGATCACATTCTTGGTCCTAAATCAGGTCTCAACCGTTATCAAAAGATTGGAATCATTCCCTGCATATTTTCAGACCACAATGCTCTGAAGCTAGAACTCAATCACAAGAGGAAATTTGGAGAGACCCAAATACATGGAGACTAAACAGCATCCTTCTAAAGAATGAATGGGTCAACCAGGAAATTAAAGAAGAATTGAAAAAATTCATGGAAACAAATGATAATGAAAACACACCGATTCAAAATCTGTGGGACACAACAAAGGCAGTCATGAGAGGAAAATATATAGCGGTACAAGCCTTTCTCAAGAAACAAGAAAGGTCTCAGGTACACAACCTAACGCTACACCTAAAAGAGCTGGAGAAAGAACAAGAAAGAAACCCTAAACCCAGCAGGAGAAGAGAAATCATAAAGATCA